CGCTATGAATTGTGGGATGTATGGGACCACGAAGCGTGCACCGGACCACGCTTGATATTTGGGGAAATCGACAGCGCATTTGGAGTATGCATTTGAAGCACACTTCGAATTGGGACAGCCGTCGTCGTGTGGCGGTGACGTAACCGCACTTGAAATGCGTACTTCAAGCGTACAGACCCTGAATTGGGACACAGCCTCAGTGTCGAGGAGTAGCTCCTCCCCCCGTCTTTAATGAGGGGACCAGCTGACCTTTGGAGCAAGCTCAGCATAGGTGAGGTTCGGCTTCACGTTCATGCACTGCTGCTGAGCACCATGCTTTGTTTTTACCCCAACTTTGCCAAGCACACTCTGGCAGACTCACGGACACCTGTACAGGTAAGGAGGCCTTAACCGGGTCTTCCTGCCTGAAGAGCTCAGGAAAGCTAACTCCACCTAATCACTGAGATCCTTTTAAAGTCATTCTAGTTTTTTATAAAGCAGACTTTTATTATTAGTTTTACATTTTCAGTCTCTTACAAGGATTTTAATTCTGTCTGTTAACATGTCTGTCTGATAACCTTTGTGTCTGTCAGCTCAGAGGTCCTCTCCCTGTGACCTCTGACCTTTGTGTTGGAAGATCACACCTAAGTGAACACGGCTTTGTGCAGACTCAGCTGGAGCTGTGACCCACCTGTGTGTGAGGCAGTGGGAGACAGACTGGACGGATGAGTTGGTTAAACTCCACCCGCTCACTCAGCCTCAGCAGGGCGATGTCGTTGTTGTAGTTGTTGGGTTGGAAGTCCGGGTGGAGGAAGATCCGGTCTACGGAGAGGTTGGTGGCCCGACGTTTGTCTCTGGCATCATGGAGACCAAGGAAGACCTGAAGGACAGAACAAGCAGGTCACTTACAGCCGATAAGCATCCGTCCCACGGTTTGGCAGAGACACAAAGCTGATCACAGATATAGGAGAGAACTTCAGAAACCTTGACGTGGTCAGCGGCCACGGGAACGACACTAGTGTCCCTCCTCAGGGACCGCAGGATGTGGGCAGCTGTGAGGACCCAGGACTCCGACAGCAGGGCCCCAGAGCCGAACCAGCGATCCTCTGGGACCCTGGACAGGTCCTCCACACTGAGCAGGACCTGCCAGGGGAAGAAGCCAGGCTCGGCGCTACGACCGCCCACAATCCGCTTCACCTGAGGGGGGAGAGGGCGGGATGGCTGGCCGCAGGCTGGACACGCAGAGACATCAGGCAGACAGATGAACAGGCAGACAGGTTAACAGGCAGACAGGTGAACAGACAGACAGGTGAACAGGCAGACAGGTGAA